TTTCTGCACCCTGGTCAATGGACATCATGACTCAAAACTTTAACCTACAAATTCGAAGGGGGTGAGCGCGCAAACCTGGTAGTATCACTCTTTTGATATTCAAGAGAGCACCGCGGAGCCCATGTAGGCAGTGTCACAAAAGAGCTCAGTTTGCGGATTCAAACAAAATAGGGTGTGGGTGTGGGTGCAAAAATCCATTCATCATCCTTCATCTAGTTGCTAGCGCATGGTGCACATGTGACTTAGCACCTCTGATTTTTTGGGAATTGGTCGAGGGCGTCAAATTGGTATGCCATGAAGCCCGAACTCACTGGGTGTTCATGGTTTGTCCTCTAAACTGTTCGAGGAGAGGAGTCTTTCTGGAGGAGTCAAAAATATGTGGCACCAACTCGAACAAGTCGTAGAGGGACAATCCGCGACATTCTCTGGTCCTGCCGGAGCAATGTGACGTGCCCGGAGCAATGTGAAGGCGGTCCGAACCAGTTTTTCTGTGAAAAACAGCACCCAAAAGCAACAGTCTGGGTGAAGTACAAGAGTTTGCAAGTCGTTGTTTTTGGATGCTTTTGCATATGTATTTACCAACAGTGAGATGTTCGGGAATGCCTCACAATTGCACCTTTCCTAGCTCCGACACCTCTTGCAAAATGGGATGAGAGGGGCATACAAACCACATCAAACCACTGCTGCTGTCCTGAACATGTGTACAACAAGAGTGCTGATCCATGCGAAAAGGCAAAGAATGCGACTCCCTGCTGCCAGAGCCAGATCCAGATCCTATTGGTCCTGTGCTATATCAAAAACGAGATCTTAAATACTGATGCACCTTGAAAACCTGTGTGCCCGCCTCAAAGCCGCATGCGGCGTCTCTGCTTCCTGAAAGAAAGGCGGAGGAGGTTGGAACCGCTGTGAATAGCATCATCGTCGTGGGAGCTTTAACATGGTTAGGGGGTGGTGGTTGGTTCATTAGTGCGTTGGTTCATTGATTCGTTGCTTGGTCGGTCGTTGATGGGTGAGTCCTCGAGTCCGTGGATCACCTGCGCGCACGATGAGCAGGCCCCCACGCATAGAGAGCACACAGCCGTTGTCTGGTGTGTTTTCCTGGCAATTCTCCTTGCAAATGGCTCAAGAGCTTGTAAGTGTATGCTAAAGATCACTTGACATGATCTGCCCTTTTGATGGGGGCACCACTATAGTGTTTTGGATTTTTGGGATGTCTTAGGTTGGATTGTCGTTTTAGAATGTTTTTTGGTGGGAATCTGATACGGTTTGTGGAAACACAGCCTGATCACGCGTCATGGTCCATCACATCACCGAGCAATGCGAGCAATTCTCAGCCGCTCCTGTGGGGGGTCCTTTTCCTGGAGACTTCTTTTTTGACCCGAATGGACGATCTTGATCAACCACAGGTGCCCAGACATGGATTGTAAAACCATGAAATCTCTGGCATCTGGGGCAAAATTGATGAATGTTGATTAATCGATGGAGTCATTGGAGACGTCAATCGTCGATGAAACTCGACCCGGCCCAGCGACTGGAGCGACTGGGGCGACTGGAATTCGAGTCGGACGAGTTTTTTTTGCGAGTCTGCGGTGTAGATGTTCAACCACCCGTCATGGCCCGTCCCAAAGAAATGCGGCTTAGGATTAGATGAATGGCCAGTGTCATGGTGCAAGTAACAGTGCCTCATGCCATAGGATGCTTCAGGAGTGCCAGACAAAATCTGGTGTCTGGCCTAAGGACATCGCCTAGAGTGCTAGAGTGGGCCGGACAACATTGGTCATGCAGTCATGCAGGTTTTATGCAGGTTTCAGTGATGACTTTAGTCCTACCAGATTTGGCTGGATGGTCACATGAAAAGTAGATGAAAGGCCTCTCTTTGAAGCGCAAAAAGAACACCTAAGAAGCTTCGTTCGTTGAACATACGCCCTAGCACTCCATCAAACTGGTCCTGTTGATAGGGGATATATGGGGATATGATAGTACCCTAACCCTAAGACCTACTTTTGGTGGCTTTGGTTGAGAGGTTCAGCAGCCAATCTGCCCCCCCTTGGCGCCAGGATACATTCCCCTCCACACGAGAGCTGGCAGTCTCCTCACCAGGATGCGGGCTTGTGACCGTGAGCATTCTGCCTTATGATCTATGTCTTGGCCATGTTCAATTTAGCTGCACTTGATACCTTCAGAATCCGCAAACGTCCTCTTCTGCTTCAATCTGGGGGACTGTGTCTGTGACGTGCCAGGTATTTGTGGGGCATAGCTTCTCGCAAGTCCTGCACCAGCTAAGCTGGAGACCTAGGACTTTGCGGATTAAAATCCTACGTTGCCCAGGTGACGTTTATATAGCTTTTGAGTGGTGTGCGAGATTCTTTTGGACGTGGTTTCTAATAAAATCCATGACCACCAGCCTCCCAAAAAGGTCGGGACACCATCTTCAGGTTGTAGGCCATCCGAAAGGAGTGAGGTACCAAAAAATACTGGACGCATCAAGAAAAATACTCCTGGTGTGTCAAAAACCAGTAGGTCAAAAACACATGGTTCCAGTAGTGGTAGTAGTAGTAGCAGTAGTAGCAGCAGCAGCAGGAGTAGTAGTAATAGGAGTGGTAGGAGTAGTATTAGGAGTAGTAGTAGGAGTAGTAGTAGTGGTAGGTAGGTAGGTAGGTCGGTAGGTCGGTAGGTCGGTAGGTCGGTGGGTCGGTGGGTCGGTGGGTCGGTGGGTCGGTGGGTCGGTAGGTAGGTGGGTAGGTGGGTAGGTGGGTAGGTGGGTAGGTGGGTAGGT